ACAGAAATAAATTACCAATCAGTAATCTGAATCTTTAAGGATTGGTGACTGTACAATTTAGCAAAAAGACAATGAATGTTATCATCATAATAACATTATAAGTTGAAATAAAAAAGAACAAAATAATAGTTACTTAAATGTCTATGTGTGTAGTGACATATGTTTGAAAGGGCACATTTGAGGATGGCATTCATCCTTTCTGCCCCAACCCCGTTATCTCCTTTAATGGGTCATAGATCAGTAACAGTTCTTTCAATAACTGTGGTTTTCACTATGATACCATTTCAGGTCAGATGTCTTTTCCATGAGCTGATTCTAATCAATCAACTAGGCATGATCCTCTGAAGTTTTCGTAGTGACTAAATGCAAATTTCCTCTTGACTCTCTTTTAACCTCTAGCCTTCCAGCCTAAAACCTATCTTTAAGATAAGGTTTTGTGTGTGTGTGTGTGTGTGTGTGTGTGTGTGTGTGTGTGTGTGTGTGTGTTTCAACTGAATAAAAAACACTATAGGAAAATCAACACTGAATTTCCCTTGGCATAGCAACTATTACTTTTTTGGCAATTTCCCCTGATCTTTACTAATTTATGGACTATTTAAGGGGTGGTAATCAATGATTATGTGAGGTTTACATTAATCTTTCCCATCTATTATTTCTTGTTCACATTTCTGTGCCATTTTCTTAATATTTCCATGCTCACCTGTTAGGATATGAAAGTGGTGTCTCCACTGACCTCACTGCTTCCCGACTTTCAGCCATTACATCTGCCTCCAGGATTTCAATTTTAAATAACACCATTGAAACCTCCTTGTGGAATTTGTGTTTGTTTTGATGTTTCTGTTTTTATTTTGAGTCAGTGTCTCATATACCTGAGGCTGGGTATATGAGACAAACCCACTATGTAGCCAGAGTGGTTTTTTTTTTTTTTTTTTTTTTTTTTTTTTTTTGGTTTTTCGAGACAGGGTTTCTCTGTGTAGCTTTGCGCCTTTCCTGGAACTCGCTTTGGAGACCAGGTTGGCCTCGAACTCACAGAGATCCGCCTGGCTCTGCCTCCCGAGTGCTGGGATTAAAGGCGTGCGCCACCACCGCCCGGCCAGAGTGTTTTGAGATGTAGCCCTGGATGGCCTGGAATTTTCTATGTAGACCAGGCTAGCCTCAAACATGCAGCAATCCTCCTGCCTCTGCCCAGAGTGCTGGGATCACAAGCTTTCCTATCTTATTGTGTCCAGCTGTTGGTTTTGAGACAGAGTTCCCTTATAAAACCCAGGCTGATCCCCAATGGCAATCCTCCTGCCTCTGCTTCCCCACTGTTAGTTTTAAAATCTTGCACCACCGTGCCCCCCAATTCTTCGTAGAATTAAAAAAAAGACATTTTCTTATGCTGATAAATGGACAAGATCATTTTCATAACTGTTGATGGCATTTTTACCACATTGGCCTCTGAAAATATCCAGTGCACAAAGAAGAAATCTCTTGTATCTTTAATGTTTTTAAAATTAGCATACAAGTAAAGCTGTCTTGGCGATTTCGCACACACACTCCATTACCTTTTGCTTCTATTCATTCTCCTCCTTCATATTCTTACTATTTCACAACTCATAACACATTTCCACAGAAATAACAGTAATTCTGATATCAGCACCAAGAGAAAATTTTTTTAATGCAAAATCTACTAACACTAGGGTTTTCATTTTGTTTTGTTTTCTTAAGACAAGGCTACATGTAGCCCAGGCTGGTTATGCCTGATTCTCCTGCCTTTGCCTCCTGAGTGCTGGAATTATAGGTGTGCACACCACATTTAGTTTATATGGTGATGAGAATTGAACCTGGGGTTTTGTGTACGTGGAACAAACACGCTAGCAACCTAGAGACATTCCTAGCCCCCAGAATGAATTTTTAAGAGTTTTGCTCACGTAATGAGTGAAAGATCTCCAAAGGAGGAGTGATGTGAGCAGTAATAGTGATTAGAGTTTGGTAACTGCTGGCACACCCAAAGAGCAGTGTGAATAGTTAGCTCACTGTGCCCCATATTCCAGACACTTAGAACCAGAATTCCAAAGGGTTACATGGCAATAGAGGAGGTGATAGGACTCACAACATCATAGTTTTTGTGATGTTCACTAAGGTCCTAAAATGATAGTAACTTTGAGCCTCAAAGTAGCCATGTGGAGATTTCAAGTAGAATTTTCAAAATAATAGAAAACAAGATTTCCTAAGTCAGGAACTAAAACAAAAGAATAAGAACGTTCAACCAATCTAGAAAAAGTCAAGAGTAAAAGAGACACAAAGCGCAGAATGAGACAGAGAGAGCGCAAGCTGACCAGAAGCCGGGGGATCGAATCTCAGACAAGCTAAAAGACACACAGTACAAAACTGTATTAAAGCCCTTTGCCAGCTGTTTTCAAGGGATACACAATGCAAATGACAAAGAAAATGGAACAAATACTAGTCAGAAGAGAGCTCAGTCACCAGCATCAGTGAGGACAGTTGGTCACAAAGTGTTAGAAGGATGCAAAAAGTTCCTGGCAGCTCAGGCTTTCATCACATGAATTTTGGTTCAAGTAAGACAAAATATTTCCCAGAAGCACTTTACTGAGAATTGGGAACTTGACTGATTGGTCCTTTGTTTTGCGTTTTTTTGTTTTGTTTTGTTTTTTTGGTTTGTTTGTTTGTTTTTTGTTTGGTTTTTGTTTTTCTTTGTTCTAATCCCTCATCCTTTCTTCTTAGATTTATAGTTCCCATTATTAAAAGGTCAAACTTTTTTTTTTAAATAGAATGTAACTACCATGACATGTCCATTATTTTTTCCAGTTAACCATCTTTTTTTCTGAGGTTCACATGCTGCTCTTCCAGAGTACTAGAGTAGACCAGAATTCAGTTCCTAGCACCCACATCAGGCACCCAGTTCCAAGGCACCCAACACACTCTTCAGCCCTACACATACCCACACACATACATATAAGATTAATAAGATATTTTTTAATAGCATGGCACTTCCACTAATACATATGAATCTCAAATTTCATTTTTAAAATTATAAACATGATCATCATGTAAATATTACTTAATAAGCATTCTTGTCACCTGATTTTTAGTCTCCATCCAGAATTCCCTGAGCCCCTCACATTGCCTTCACTTTGTTTTTTGAGAAAAGGTCTCACAATTGTAACCATGTTGGGTTGGAATGTGCAGTGATTCTCCTGCCTCCACTTCCTAAGAACAGGGATTACAGGCCTGACTGCTGCTGCCGCGCCTCCCCTTCCTCTTTCCTTCCTCTTCTTCTCTTTCTCCTTCTGAATTTAAGCATAAAATCAAGTATGGTTGCATACACCTTTAATCCTAGCACTTGGGAGGCAGAGGCAGGTGATTTCTGGGTTTGAAGCCAGACTGGTTGGTCTACAGAGTGAGTTCCAGGCAGCCAGAATTACATGGTGAGGCCCTGTCACAAAATCACAACTGAAGAATTCAAATATAATTACCTCATTTCCCTTTCCCTTTCCTCCCTCCTATCCCTCTCCATGTACTGCCTCCCTTCGCTCTCTCTCAAACTCCTGGCCTCTTTTTTCTTGTTGTTGTTCTTACACACACACACCCTACTGGGTCCATTTAACGTTACTTGGACATACGTGATTTCAGGGCTACCTGCTTGGTACTGGATAACCAGCTAGGGCTCCTCCCCAGAGAAGACTATTTCTCCAGCTCTCGGCCGTCCTTAGCTGCCTTGTAAGTCTTTATCTGGTTTCCCCTTCCATGTTAGCAAGTCTACTGATATTGCACGTGTTCAGGTCTTGTTTAGGCAGCCACATTGCTAAGGTATCATGTGTGAAGCTTCCCTGTCATTTCTAGGAGTCACATCTCCCTGGTGTCCTGGTCCTCTGGCTCTTCTGATCTTTTTGTCCCCTCTTCTGAGATATTCCTTAGGTGCAGGACTTGTGCTGTGGATATATGAACTGAGGCCAGGCTTTTAGTTATTTTTTATGAGACAGGGTCTCACTCTCAGTCCAGGCTAATGGTTAGAGGCGATGCTTCAGTCACTTAGGTGCTGGGATTACAGGCCTGAGCCTCCACAGCTAGCCCTTTCTCCTACTTTGAAAACAATTCCTACCATGTGATCATGCTGACAGGAACAGGAGCAGATTTTTCTTCCGGATATGAGAACTCTGTTTCATAACAGCATCCAGTTTCAGGTCTACAGTAGCAGCCCCCAGACTTTTGGTCTTAAACATCTTTTGCACTTTTAAACACTGCTGATGATAGAGGTGTATGTGTATTACTGATAGTGGCAAAGCTTAACAAAAATCTACATATACATATTTTATGTGTGTTTGCCTACATGAATGTGCAACCTGTCTATGCCTGGTACACAGGGAGGTCAAAAGAGGGTGTCATATCCCCTTGAACTGGAGTTACAGATGGTTGGGAGTCACCATGTGGGTGCTGGGAATTGAACCCAGGTCCTCTCCAAGAACAAGTGCTCTTAACTGCTGAGCCATCTCTCCAGGCTACAAAGCCTTTGCCTAGTACACAAAAAGCCCTTGCAAGGATCTCATTAACTAGCAATACCTACATTTTTTTTTTTATTATTTTTTTTTTGAGACAGGGTTCCTCTGTGTAGTTTTGGAGCCTTTCCTGGAACTCACTCTGTAGACTAGGCTGGCCTCTGCCTCCCAAGTGCTGGGATTAAAGGCGTGCGCCACCACTGCCGGGCACAATATGTCCATCTTACTAGGAATTAAAACTAAAAGCACAAATATAGAGAGTACAGTCTGTTGTGATGGCATCATCACAATCATGTGATCAAGAGAAACTACTAGCCAATGGACAGTGGCAGTGAAAATAGGAATAAACAGTATTGTCAGTAAAGTAGACGTCATTAACAAACCACTTAACGGGTCTCCAAATGCATCCCAGCCCACCCCATTCTTGCAGTCCAGGGATCCAAGTGCAGAGAGTCAAGTTCTTGGTCTTTTCTACTTAAAAAAGTTATTCTTTTCAAACAGGGCTAGGTGGCTCTAGTAGTAAGACTCCTCGGAAAGCTGAGGCAGGAGAATCGCGAGATCGAGGCCAACTTGGCCTACAGAGAGAGAGCCTGTCTCAAAACACCAAAGCAAACCAAACTCAACAGTTAAGCCGGCAGCTGCCGCCCTACGTCAGTAAAAAGCAGGAAGTCAGAAACGACTGCCCAGCCTTTTAAGGAGCTGCACCGGGAAGACCTGCTCGCCCACCGTAGGCCTCCCACTTCCCGGCATGCCCCGGGCGTGCGAGAGGCGTGGACAAGGGCGCGCGCGTCCCACGTGACCCCCAGGTCAAGCGAGGCGGGAATCTGCGAGCTCGCCGTGGCTGGGTCCCTTGGCTCTCTTCGGCGGTGGGTCGGCACCCCTGAACCGGCCCGCGCCCTCCGGGGGGAAACCGAAGCCCGCGAGACCGGAAGTGCGCCCGCCGCAGCTCCCGCCTGCAGCTCGCAGCGTGTGTTCCCCACTTCCCGGTCCGCTCGGGGCGTCTGCTTCCCGGCTTTCGGCTTTGCCCATCTTCCGCCTGAGGTTAATCTTGTCCCTGGCACTGAGATACGAAACGTGCTGCAAACATGTCCCGGATCGAAAAGATGAGCATTCTGGGCGTGCGGAGTTTTGGGATAGAGGATAAAGATAAGCAAATTATCACTTTCTTCAGCCCCCTCACAATTTTGGTTGGCCCTAATGGGGCGGGGAAGACGGTAAGTCCGGAGGCGAGGGCCGCAGAAGGTGCTTGGGGTGTGGCTTTGCGGGGCCCGCGGACCGCGGCGACCTCGGAGCCGGCCTGGCCCAGCCACTTTGGGGCTTGGCTCCTGTTCCCCTCCTGTTCCCGCGGAAGGCCATCTGCGCCCGGGCTCTCCAGCCCCGCCCCCTTGTTCCCCGAAGCATAGCAGTCACTCCTCATGAGTTTTTCCCAACACTGCACCCCCCCCCCCAGAAAAAGGTATAAAATGTGAGAAATACGTAACCTAGAGTTTCAAAATATGTTTACTGGTAAAGCATAATGAATGAAAAAAACAAATGTCTTAATGTGCAGACGAGCTGATGGAGCGAGCCTTAAGCTGGAGAACTATTTTACCATGCTGCTAAAAATTTGGGCTGTGCGTTGTGACACATACCTTTAATCCTAGATTGACAGAGACATGCCCATTTTCGTGAGTTCGAGGCCAACCTTGTCTACATACCGAGTTGCAGGCTAGTCAGAAATGCCATGTTGGGTCTTGAATGCCAGGAGGTGGACCTTTATGTGGAAATGTTCTGTGGTGAATATCTATTATGTATGTACTTAGCATCTTACCAGGTGTGGTCCTAACATTCGAAAAGAGACCTAATAAAGTGTTTATAATCATTAGCTGCATATATATATATATATATATATATATATAATTTTATTTGCTTATTTTGGAGACAGCATCAGTAGCTTAGGCTGACCTTGAACTCCTGATCTTCCTGCCCTCCACCTGAGTGCTGGAACTGTAGACATGCACCACCACACCTGGCTGTGAATTAATATTTGTCATAAACTTCTGTGGTTCTCTTATCACTAAATAACACAATTTTCTATTTCTTTAGACCATCATTGAATGTCTAAAGTATATTTGCACTGGAGATTTCCCTCCTGGAACCAAAGGAAATACATTTGTTCATGATCCCAAGGTAATGGTGTTTGTAAAGTTTAAAAAAATTTTTTTATTTAAAAATTTTATTTAAATTTATATAAATTTAAATTTATTTTAAAAAACGAAATTTTTATAATTATAAAAGTACTAGTTACTTATTATAGAGGACCTAACAGTGGAAAGTATGAAGAGAGGAAAGTCATCTACAGTCTAAGCACCTCATGATAACCGTTGTTGGTATTTTTATTAATTTTTCTCCCCATACATAATGTTTTACAGAGCAGAGATCATAGTCCCATCTAATGGTACATTCAGGTTTTTTTCCCCCACTAAGCATTGTCATATAGTGTGAGGTTATTAAAACACTAGGGCTGACGAGGTAGTTCAACAGGTAAATGCACTTGCTTTGCAAGCCAGGGGTCAAACTTGTAAAGATGGAAGGAGAGAGTTGATGCCACAGAGTTGTCCTCTGACCTCTATACATTTGTCATAACGTGTGCCCACACACAGACATGCACACGTGTGCTCTAGAGTACACACACAAAATAATAATAAAAAATAATTTTTGAAAAAAAATAAACCCAACAAAAAACACCATAGTGAATTCTTAATCTTGGCATTTGGGATGTGTTTTCAATATATATATTATATATATATATTATATATTATATTATATAATATATTATATATATTTTTTTAAGCTGAGGTCTTTATTTAAAATTTGTGGTACTGTATAAATATCATTAATAATTGCATTATTTGCATTTAGATTGCTCTTAGTTTTTTCCTATACTCTACCATGATGAAAATCTTAGTGAAGCTTTGCTTGAATTGCAGTGTTTTTTTTACTACTAGTGTGTATATAGGACATTGAGTTTGGCCTATAGGTTTTTCTTATTGCATATATGTATACAACAAGAATATGAATTTACTTAGTGCCGTTAAATCTCAGTAAGTTAAGGGTTTATTGTTAAATTCTTCCTGTGCATGTCTGTGTATCTATAAATACACTTGCACATTTATATTTCAGTGTATCTCTAGAATTTTGTTAATACATATACATACTTGCTGTTTTTAGTTTCCATTAATACTCGGTTGAGTTTATGTCCTATAGGGTTATTGTTTGGTTTTGGTTTTTCGAGACAGGGTTTCTCTGTATAGCTTTGGAGCCTGTCCTGGAACTCGCTCTGTAGACCAGGCTGGCCTCGAACTCACAGAGATCCACCTGCCTCTGCCTCCTGAGTGCTGGGATTAAAGGTATGCGCCACCACTGCCCACGGTGTTTATTTACTTTAAGACAGAGTCTCTCTGTGTGGTCCTGGCTGACCTGAAACTAGCTATGTAAACCAGACTGGCCTTTAATGTAACAGAGATTAACCTGCCTTTGCCTCTAGAATTAAAGGCACGCGCCACTACTACCAGCCCTAGTTTATTTAACCAGCCACCTGTTAGTCACTTCAGTTGTGCCATCAAACGTGACTTTAACCTTTAACCTGGTATGCTGCCACATGCCTGTAATTCAGCACTCTGGAAGCTGAGACAGGAGGATCAGGAGGTCAAGGCCAGACTGGGCTACATGAGACCTTGTCTCAAACAAAACCAGGTTGTCATAGTTTTTGTCAGGCCGACACAAGCCTAGACATACCTAGGAATGTGGGAACCTTGATTGAGGAGTTGCCTCCATCAGATTGGCCTGTGAACCTGTCTGTGGGGCTTTTCTTGATTGCTGATTGATATGGGAGGGCCCAGCCCGCTGTGGGTGGTGCTGTCCTTGGGCAGGTGGGTCTGAGCTGTGTAAGAAAGGTAGCCGAGCCAGCCAGAGAAACCAGCCAGTAAGCAGCAGTCCTCCGTGGTCTCTGCTTCAGTTCCTGCTTCCAGATTCCTGACTTGAGCCCTGGCCCTGGCTTCCTGAGGTGAAACTAACTTGTAAGCCAAATAAACCTCCCCACACTGCTTTTGGTTTATTTCAGGGTTTTAGCAACAAAACCTAATTAGTACCCAAACCAAACGCACCTCCAAAAGCTGCTAGTGTAACTTTAAACTTTCACGTGACTAACGATTATGCTGGAACTATGAAAGAATTTGTGAATTTCATCTTGGAAATAGTCATCTTATTGAGCCCTCTAAAATGACTGCTCATACCTTCTCTTCTAACCCTATAATCTACTCTGCTCAGTTACTGCTTTGGACTTGTACTTCATTGAGAAATAGGAGGGAGGGATCAGGTGAAAAGTCATTCAGTTTTTAGTAAAAATCTACTAAACTACCCTCCATGTTCATTGTGTTGAGTATAAATTATTTTATGAAGAATTCCCTTGTTTTCAGGCCTGGTTCTACCTCTGGAACTCCAGTTTAGTAAATGATAGCATCATCCACATCTTTTTTTTTTTTCCTTGCCAAAACCTGTGGGTTGAGGCCAGGCGTGGTGGCGCAAGCCTTTAGTCCAGCGCTTGGGAGGCAGAGGCAGGTGGATCTCTCTGAGATCGAGCCAGCCTGGTCTACGAAGTGGCTTCCAGGACAGCCAGAGCTGTTACACAGAGAAACCCTGTCTCAACAAAAAACAAACTAACAGCCGGGCGGTGGTGGCGCACGCCTTTAATCCCAGCACTCGGGAGGCAGAGCCAGGTGGATCTCTGTGAGTTCGAGGCGAGCCTGGGCTACCAAGTGAGTTCCAGGAAAGGCGCAAAGCTACACAGAGAAACCCTGTCTCGAAAAAAACAAACGAACAAACAAACAAAACCAAACTAACAAACAAAACCCTGTGGGCTGGCCTTAATTAGTTGATTCCTTTATCTTACCCAGTTTCCAATTCACAGGCCAGTCTTTGCTCCTCCTTAAAATGTACCCAGCATTTGTCCTCGCCACTCTGTTGCCGCCACTCTTGGGTGCAAGTCACCACCACCCATGATTTGAGCCATCAGCCATCCCCTAAGTTGTGTTCTTGCCTGCACTCTTGAAGTTGCAGACCAGCCAGAGCTACATCGAGAGACCGAGACTCAAAAACAAACAAGACACACATTTTAATATTTGTTCAAGAGGAGGCGAGTTGCTTAAAGTCTGGGGAAGATTGTTCCATCCAGTGTTAATACTGAGTGCATAGTCCCTGAAGTGAAAACATGCTGAGTGTGTTCAGGGACTGAGAGGAGCAAGGTGGTGAAGGCAGACATGGAAAGCCATGTCAGAGTTAGAAGACACTAGACTCTGTGGGGCCTCAGCACGCTGGGCAGGTGCTTTACTGCTGACCTGTAGCCTCAGCCCAGTTGTTAAATAGTTATTTAGAAGATTTTGAGCAGAGAAAACACAGTCTGAGTTACGTGGTAAGGATCAGTCTGTTGCTGACCGAAGACTGTAAGGTAGGAGACAGACTGAGAGGCTTAGTTAAGGTAGTGGAAGTGGGAGAGAGAGATGTGGGGTGTGACCTGAGTGTAGAGCCAACAGATCAGCTAATGTTTTGGATAATGATGCTGAGAGAAGCAAAAGCATAGCCTCAGGCTTTCTCCGTGAACAAGTTAAGATAATTTTCCAGCCCGGCAGTGGTGGTGCACACCTTTTGATCCAGCACTCAGGAGCCAGAGGTTGGAGGATCTCTGTGAGTTCGAAGCTAGCCTGGTCTACAGAGAGAATTCCAGGATAGCAAAGGCTACATGGTGAGACCCTGTCTCAAAAAAAATAAAAATAAAAATCATTTTGCCTTTTATTGTCATAGAGGTACTCAAAAAGGAAATTTGGGTGGGTCTGGTTTGAGGTATTTGGTAGATCTCCAAAGTAAATATCCAGTCGCCAAAAAAAAAAAAAAAAAAAAAAAAATGTATCATTGAGAAGTTAGAGTTACAAAAAAAAAAAATTAAGAATTCGTGATAGCAACAGTTCAATACAGTCACTATTTAAAGCCTGAGGAGATCAAGTTGGAAATGAACAAAAGGGCTTCAGGGCCTGCAGCTAGAGCATTAGAACTGATGTGTTCACAAACTGGGAAGAGGAGAGGTTGGAAGTTATCTAAGGAGCATGCCATCAACTTCACATGGTAACATTAGTGAAAGGGTGTTCAGATATAGGAAGCCATTTGCTTCTCTTCGCAAAGTAGGCTTCAGTGGTCAGAAAACCAATCATTATTTTATGATTTTTTTTTCCTGTAACTAAGAGGGCAATAGCTAGAGAATTTTCTCCTTCCTTCCTTCCTTCCTTCCTTCCTTCCTTCCTTCCTTCCTTTCTTTTTGTTTTTTGTTTTTTGTTTTTCAAGATAGGGTTTCTCTGTGTAGCCTTGGCTGTCCTAGAACTCACTCTGTAGACCAGGCTGGCCTCAAACTCACAGAGATCCACCTGCTTCTGCTTCCCAAGTGCCGGGACTAAAGGTGTGCACCACAGTACCCGCAAGAGTATTTCTTGATAAGGACGTTTTTGTTGGCTACTGCTATTGGTATTTATAAAAGTGGAATATACTACAGTGTATAGAACAATGAGATGACTTCCTAGAGGGGAATTGAGCACTGAACAAAAGATGCAGCTAATGCTGTATGATCTTGAAAAAATAAGCTCAACAGCATACTTCCCGTGTTTTGAAAATGTGTAAAAATAGCTCATTTTGAATGAGGTCTTTAGTGACTTCCCCCTCATTTTTAGATAAGCACGGTGTTGATACTCTTTCCTTTCCTTGATAGGGACATGCTGGTACTCCTTATGACTGTTATTCTGTTTACCATCAAAGGTTGCTCAAGAAACAGATGTGCGAGCCCAGATTCGCCTGCAGTTTCGAGATGTCAATGGAGAGGTGGTGGCTGTGCAGAGGTCTATGCTTTGCAGTCAGAAAAGCAAAAAAACGGAATTTAAAACCCTGGAAGGAGTCATTACTAGGAAAAAGTAGGTACTCACCTTGTATTTGGAGAGCTGCTCACACTGGTGTTCTGGGCCCAGGAGGCTTCCTGTCACTACTGTTTATTCTAGGAGAGATATTACTTTTCTTTCAACAGGATTTTGTTTTCCTTTTGATATAGTCTTCTTTTTTCTTTTTGAGACAGGGCTTATACTGAAGCTCAGCCTGGCTTGGAACTCACTGTGTTGCCAAAATGGCGTGAAATTTTGTCTCAGCCTTGTGAGTGTTGGGATTACAGGCATATGTCTCCACACCTGACCTCAGGCTCTATTTTTAGAGTAATTTTGTATTCACAGTGTAATTGAATACAGAGTAGAGCTCCCATCTACTCCATGCCTCTACATTACAGAATCTCAGCCACTATCAACGTGTACTTTTTTGATATTGTTTATCTTGAAATAGAACAATTTTTTTCAATTTCTTTTTACATTTATATATTTAATGTGTAGGAATGTTTTGCCTCCATGTACAGTGGATTAGAAGAAAGCGTCAGATCTCCTGGACCTGGAGTTGTAGATGGTTGTAAGCCACCACGTGGGTGTTTGGAATTGAACCCAGGTCCTCTGCAAGAGCAACAAATGCTCTAAACCACTGAGCTATCTCTCCAGGCCAGAAATAGAATGATCTTATTAAAGATTTTGCAATAATATTCCATTGCCTATGTCATTTATGAATAGTTGTTGTAATTAAGTGTGTAACTATTCAAGTATAGGTTGAATAAATGCAACTTTCATATACAGAGGATGGGTAAGGTGAAAAGTAGACAAGTAGGGAAGACTAGTAATTTACCCCTTTGACCATTATTACTGTGTTAGAGTTGGTAATCCCTTGTAATGGGTGTGGATTTTGGAGGTAGGCTTTATCAGAAAAGAATGCCAGGAGTTTCCTTTATATATTTGTGGTTTGTTTTGTTTTGTTTTGTTTTTTGAGGTAAGGGTCTCATGAAATCTAGGTTGTTTGAAACTTCCTGTGTAGCCAAGGATGACTTGAACTTCTGGTCTTCTTGCTTCTACCTCCCAAGAGAGTATAGGCATGTACCACTACATTAGCACAGTTTGTGGCAGCCCGCCTGCCTCAGCCTCCCTGCTGCTAGGATTACAGATGTGAGCCACCGTACCCAGCTCACATACTTAGGTTTTAAATATGCTAATTGAAAATGTTCGTATAAGTAGATAGGAAGTATTCATTCTTCCATCCCCAGAACTAAAAACACAAGAGACTTAAGTGAATACAGTAGAATATGATCATCAATAGCAGACAGAGAAAGGTGAATAAAGAGAAACACAAATAAAGTGGGTTAGGAAATGGGTTTCACCACTTCTCAGCAATTTGACTAAGACCAACTGTAGAAAATCCTTATTGGGGCTAGAGAGATGACTCACTTGCATTCTCCAGAGGACCCAATTCAGTTCTCAGCACCTACATCAGGCCACTCAAAATCACCCATAATTCCAGCTCCAGAGGATCTGGTACCATCTGCTGGCACCCACAATTATGTACACTCGGGTTATTTTAAATTCATTATTTAAAATTTGAAATATGGGGAGATTCTTGCCAAACAAGCGTGAGGATCCAGGTTTGATTCTCAGCACCCATGTAAAGGCCAGATGTAGTCATGTGTGCTTGTAATTCCAGCTCTGGGGAAACAGACAGGAGGATCTTGGGACTTGCTGGGTACTCAGTCAGCTGAATCAGGAACTGCAGATTTAATGTCTCACAAGAAAGGTGGACATTGATTGAGAAAGATACCTTGCATTGTCCTGTGGCCCCCACATGGAAATGTACACACAGACATTAACACAAAAACGAACACATAGACCCAAAAAGTCCTACTATGCTTTTAAAAATTCTTGCCTGCTTTTTGCACTACCTGTTTTACATAACCTTCCAATCAGTGAACTTTTTGACCACGAAGAGTTAGCTTTTTTCCCCTGTGTGTATGTGTTCCTGTGGGTATATCTGCAGGTGCTTGTGCTTGTGTTTGAAGAAGCCAGAGTTCAGCCTTGGGTATGGTTCTTCAGGAGCCAGTCACCTCTTTTTTTTGAGACATAGTCATTTATTGACCTGAAGCTTGCTAGTTCAACTAGGCTAACGGCCTGTGAGTCCCAGGAGTCCTCCTGTCTCTGCCTCCTCAGCTGATACTACAAGTGCATGCCACCACCTGAGCTTTCTTTACATGGGTGCTGGGAACTGAACTCCAGTCGTGATGCTTGGGTAGCAGGCACTTCACCAACTAATCTGTTTCCCTGGCTGCAAGATTATCTTAGCAGGAGGACACCGTTTTAATGGGACAGGCAAAGGGCCATTTTGTTTTTTTGTGAAGAATGACATGTGCTGATAAGTGCTCAGCTGGTAGAGTATTTGCCTAGTATATACCACATAGACTGGGGGTGGCAGACCCTTGTAATCCTAGTACTTGGGGCTTGGGGGTAGTTCTTAGATCGTTCTTGGCTACATAGTGAGCTTGAGGCCAGTCTCAGGTAGATAAGACCTCAAGAGAAGGGTTTGTAAGATTAAACAGCAGAGTAGGTACCTCCGAAGGTCATTTCACTCACAGCCTTGATTCTCACCCTTGTAGGCATGGTGAAAATGTCAGTGTCAGCTCCAAATGTGCAGAAATAGACCGAGAAATGATAAGCTGTCTTGGGGTTTCCAAGGCTGTGCTAAATAATGTCATTTTCTGTCACCAAGAAGACTCCAACTGGCCTTTAAGTGAAGGAAAGGCCCTGAAGCAGAAGTTTGATGAGATTTTTTCAGCAACAAGGTTTGTATCTGTGACTTTTGTAGCTGCAAAGTTACTTAGTCATGTTGTATTTTGTGAGACTGTGCTTGAACCAGGTCCTTACAAGTTAGATCCCCATTCTGGACTAGGTGTTTCAGTTGGTTTTATTGCCCAGGCTACCCTCAAACTTCTGTGCTCACCCAGCACCTGGAGTTTTAGGGACACACCACCATGGCCACCTTGATGCTCTTTTTAAATTTTTTTTTTTTTTTTTAGTGTTTTGAAACAAGGTTTCTCCGTGTAACAGTTCTGGCAGTCAAGGAACATGCTTTGTAGACCAGGCTGGCCTTGAACTCACAGAGATCCGCCTGCCTCTGCCTTCTGAGTTCTGGGATCAGAGGCATGCACCACCACCTCCCGGCAATGCTCTTATAAAAGACAAAATTAGCCGGGCGGTGGTGGCGCACGCCTTTAATCCCAGCACTCAGGAGGCAGAGCCAGGCGGATCTCTGTGAGTTCGAGGCGAGCCTGGGCTACCAAGTGGGTCCCAGGAAAGGCGCAAAGCTACACAGAGAAACCCTGTCTCGAAAAACCAAAAAAAAAAAAAAAAAAAAAAAAAAAAAAAAAAAAAAGACAAAATTAAAAAGCAAAAAGAGTCAGCACTCACTACTCCACCAAGTGGCAGCCATTGGGCATACTTTCAGTTTTCTTGCTGTGCATGTTTATCTGATAGAATAAATGATGTCATAAGCATTTCCCAGGTTATTAACTCCAAATGTAGTATTAATGTTTGCATAATATTCTACTGTAATTTACTCAGCCAGAAATTTTGCTTTTCTTTCCTATCTTCACAGGTACATTAAAGCCTTGGATACCCTTCGACAGGTGCGTCAGACACAAGGTCAGAAGGTAAAAGAGTGTCAGACAGAACTGAAATATCTGAAGCAAAATAAGGAGAAAGCCTGTGAGATCCGCGACCAGATTAGCAGTAAGGAGGCCCAGCTAGCATCTTCACAGGAGATTGTCAGGTCCTATGAGAATGAACTTGAGCCATTGAAGGTAACTGATTTTTTTCTTAGGGGCAAATTAAAATTGTGTGTGTTTATGACATATAATATGATTTATGTAAGTATTTGCTATAAGGATGGGTAAAGCCAGCCAGTTAACATTTGTGTGGTAGGAGCACTTAAAATTTATTCTCTCAGCAGTTTACAAGTACACAGCACTTAGTTACTGACTGTGTTTACCATGGTGGCAATAGCTGTCATCTAGCATTCTAAGAAGAAACTCCCTCCCCCACCACAATGTCACCACCTTCCAGCCTAAAGTACCTTTTAAAAAACAGTTATTTTTGTTTTATGTGTATTGGTGTTTTGCCTGCATGCATGTCTGTGCACCATGTGTGTGCAGTGCCTGTGGAAGCCAGAAAAGGGTCTGATCCCCTGGAACTGGAGTTACAGACATTGTGAGTCACCATGTGGGTGATGGGAATCAAGCTGCTCTTAACTACTAAGCCATGTCTCCATCTCCACAGAGTACTTATTTTTATATGACCTTCAGGAGCATGTATATTTCTTCTTTTTTTTTTTTTTTTTGGTTTTTCGAGACAGGGTTTCTCTGTGTAGCTTTGCGCCTTTCGTGGAACTCACTTGGTAGCCCAGGCTGGCCTCGAACTCACAGAGATCCGCCTGGCTCTGCCTCCCGAGTGCTGGGATTAAAGGCGTGCGCCACCACCGCCCGGCGTATATTTCTTTAAAATTACCAGAAACTTAATCCTGTCTAAAATTTTAGGTCTGTGTTAGACAATAAGTCATTCTTATTTATTTATTTATTTATTTTGATTTTTTTTCTTCAATACAGACTTTTTCTGTATAGTCCTGCCTGCCCTAGAACTCACTCTGTAGATCAGGCTGGCCTCCACCTGCCTCTGCCTCTCAGTGCTGGACTTAAAGGCTGTGCTACCACACCCAATTAGACAGTTGGTCTCTAAATTGCCTGGTGAGGTTGTATTTGAAAGTAGATCATGGGTGAGTGGTTGGCACTGGTCCTAGCTGTTAAACCCTGCTACAGCAAGACCTGACTTTACAGTTTTTTGGTTTTTTTCTGTTTGTTTGTTTATTTTTTTTTTTGAGATTTTCAAATTGTCTTTGTAGAGAATTTTTATAGTTTTAAGGGTGTTGCTGACATTTGTACAAAATTTGGAATTCATCCATTACATATATGCAAATTAGTATAACTTTTTGTTTATTTGTTTTTTGTTTTTTTGAGACAGGGCTTCTCTGTGTAACTTTGGAGCCTGTCCTGGAACTCACTTTGTAGGTTGGCCTCGAACTCACAGAGATCCATCTGCCTCTGCCTCCTGAGTGCTGGGATTAAAGGCATGCACCTCCACCCACCAGCTAGTATAGTTTTCTAAGCCCTGTGTTGTTGATGTTTTAAGCAGCTTACAGATTAGCAGGTTTTTTGGGTTGGGGATTTAGCTCAGTGGTAGAGTGCTTGCCTACAAGCGCAAGGCCCCTGGGTTTGGTCCTCAGCTCCAGGGGAAAAAAAAAAAAAAAGACCAAAAAAAAAATTAGCACGTTTTCTTACCAAATTTTCATACATACTTGGCTTTGGTTGTTTCTTCTTCCTACCCTCTTCTGGTTTTACGTATTTATCTATGAGACAGGATCTTAGCCGTTTACCCAGGCTGACCTTAGACTCCTGGGCTAGGATCAAGGGACCCTTTTCCCTACCTCTTTCAGAGCCTGGATGAGGGCAGCAGCTGAACCCTATGGTGTATAAGAAAGGCCTTCAAGAGATGCATGCATTTGCTAGCATTTACCCAGACATTCTGTGCCTCCGTCTGCAAGCTCAAGGAGGACCTGCATTCCAGCCTTACCTCCCAGTCTTGTCTCTGTCAGTCTCCCCTCCCGAGCCCTGGCGTTAGGTACACACCACTTCTCCTGATTCCGGCCTGGTCCCTGAAGCTTTGTCCAACTTGGTCAGGTCTTCTGACAGTGCTGCTTCGCATGTGCTCTTACCTAGTAGTGTCTGGAACACAGTAGGCTTTAATCAGTGATATGACCATTACTGTTTGTAAGATGATTTTGTGCGAATCTTTCACTTAGCTAACATCGAGCACTTCCGGGGATATGGGAGACAACAAAGTGAAGGAAGTTCCTGTTTGTATGGTGACTGCATGCTGTCCATTAGTGTACAGAACATAGATATGTTACTAGAATGATTTATTTTATTTTTTTTTCCGTTATTTTTATGTGTATGTTTTGCCTGCATGTATATCTGTGCACCACATTTATGCCTGATGTACTTGATGAATGGAGGCAGAAAGATTGGGAATTTAAGGTCATCTGGCTACATAGTGAGTTTAAAGCCAGTGAGGACTACATGAGAGCCTATGTCAACTAAAACAGCAAGAAGTTAGGTTTGAGACTATAGCTCAGTGTTAAAATGCTTGCCTATTATGTACGAAGCCCTAGGACCAAGCCTCAGCACTTCATCATCATTTAAGAATTCTGTTCTTAAAATGTGGCATGTCACAGGTCGGATTGAAGGCTCAGCAGTTAAGAGGGCTCACTGTTCTTATAGAAGATCCACTTTCAGTTCCCAGCATTCATATCAGATAGCTCACAATTGCCTGTAACTCTAGCTCCAGGGGATCTGGCACTTGTCTGACCTCCTTGGGCATGTAAACAAACACACATGCATTTATACATAAGTAATAATAAGTCACTTCTTGGTCTTTTGACTAGGAGCAAGTGTAGTATCTGTTCTTATCAGTTTAGCATCAATAGTTAAAATGTGGCATTTACACACTGTAGCTGCCAGTACCTTAGGAACAAATGAAAGCAGGGTATGGGCTTTATGATGTCCTTAATGCTTTACATAGTATCTCTAGTGCCCCTTTCACAGGCTGCTGTTAGCACTAAATGGTGGTGTCTTAGTAAACGGTCCTTGCATAACTTAGGTCCCTTCCTCAATGATGTAAGCACAATGGATTCCATTCATGTAGAATTTGTCGTTACTTTCAGAATCGCCTGAAAGAAATTGAACACAACCTCTCTAAAATAATGAGACTTGACAATGAAATTAAAGCCTTGGATAGCCGAAAGAAGCAAATGGAAAAAGATAACAGTGAATTAGAACAGAAGATGGAAAAGGTTTGTGGTCAGCAGTTTTGCTCGGTTTGAAAATTTAGGGATTATCATAATGAATTGCATTAAAACCCTTTTGTCTCCACATTTTAGGGAAAAGGTAAGCCTGAATCTTGGTGTTTGTGATACCTCTGTTAAAATGGGTATTGGATAAAATTTTATTTATATTTGATATGTCTGGGTGCTTGGCATATTTATACATTAAAGCTGTGTTTTGGATTGACACAGGTGTTTCAAGGGACTGATGAGCAGCTGAATGACTTGTATCACAATCACCAGAGAACAGTGAGGGAGAAAGAGAGGCGCTTGGTGGACTGTCAGCGTGAACTGGAGAAGCTGAACAAAGAAGCTCGCCTCCTCAACCAGGAAAGAGAGGAGCTGCTTGTGGAGCAGGGTAAGGGCTGGGCTGCCCGGCCTTCTCCCTTCTAGCACATGCGTTTTCTGCGTGAAGGAAGACTCCACAGACTTAACCCTGAGAACACCCAGTCTCAAAGGCTGTAGAGTGTGCTTCCATTTCTATAGTATTCTGAAATGTCAAAATCGGGGACGCAGGACATAGCAACCAAAATACGTGGTTGCTAGGGATAGTGGACAGAAGGAGGGACAGGAGGAAGATGGATGTGCTTATGGCTACAGAACAAGAAGGTTCTTCAGGTGCTGAAACTGTTTAATATCTATACTGCTTTTTGGACATACAAACTGATGTGGGATAAAATTATATAGACTTTGGGCTTACAGAGATGGTTCAGTGGTTAGAGCACTTGCTGCTCTTCCAGAGAACTTGAGCTTAGTTCCCAGCACCTACATTGGGTGACTTACAGTCACCTGTAACTCTGGTTCCAAGGATCTAATACCCTCTTGTCTCCATGGGAACTCACACTTGTGGCACAGACACACATATATGTATAAACAAAATTTTTTTTTTTTTGGTTTTTCGAGACAGGGTTTCTCTGTGTAGCTTTGCGCCTTTCCTGGAACTCGCTTTGGAGGCCAGGCTGGCCTCGAACTCACAGAGATCCGCCTTGCTCTGCCTCCCGAGTGCTAGGATTAAAGGCGTGCGCCACCACCGCCCGGCTCAAAAATTTTAAACCTTTTCTAAAAAATTACACAGAACTTAATGCATGCACACAAATGAGTACAAATAACACTGGGGAATTTGGACAGACCTGATGGGTTATACAATGTTAGTATACCAGTGTAGACTTTAAACAACAGTTTTACAGTTTCCATTAGAGTAAAGTGGGCAGACTATAGAAGAGGTTATACTGTGTTATTTTTACAAGTGCAATATGAGTCTACTGTTACCACAACTTAAATCAGCTGAAAAAAGTTTTGTTTTTTTAAATAAAGGTCGTCTACAACTACAGGCAGATCGCCATCAAGAACATATCCGAGCCAGAGATTCATTAATTCAGTCTTTGGCAACACATCTCGAATTGGATGGTTTTGAGCGTGGGCCCTTTAGTGAAAGACAGATTAAAAATTTTCACGGACTTGTAAGAGAGAGACAGGAAAGAGAAGCTCAAATTGCCAGCCAGCTCTTGGTAAATATCTTGAAATCCAGGTTTGCTGTCTTTTGTGTCAGATTCACTAGGTGATTTGATAAACTTTTTTTTGTTGTTGTTGTTGTGTGTTTGATTTTTGAGACAGGGTTTCTCTGCGTAGCCCTGGCTGTCCTGGAACTCACTTTGTAGACCAGGCTGGCCTCGAACTCATAGAGATCCGCCCGCCTCTGCCTCCCAAGTACTGGGATTAAATCACACCCTACGTGATTCAATAAACTTTTTAAGTGAACCTGACTTTGTCACATATTTAGTGAGTGTTTGGCTATTAAGTAGAATAAAAACTTTTAGAAACATTTTATTTAATTCATAAGGATAAAAATAGGAGCAAAATGTAGGTCTGTGGTTTTGTTTAAGTAAAATTTATTTTTGAGGATAATTGCAAAAAACTGTGCTCATGGTTACTGATGGTCACCTCAGGGCAGTGCTTTTCACGGTTTTAGAAATTTCCTATGTTTTCTTCGTTCTATATGTTACTTTAAAGGGAAATTTCCTTAGTTGCTTAATGAAAGACTTACTAATGCATATTCTTGGCATTTAGAATGACCTTACAGAAAAAGAAACTCTGAAGCAAAAGCAGATTGATGAGATAAGGGACAAGAAGGCCGGACTGGGCCGAATGATTGAGCTGAAAACAGAACTGCTCACTAAGAAGCAGAGCGAGCTGCGGAACGTGAAGAATGAGCTGCAGACACTAGAGGGCTCATCGGACAGGATTCTGGAGCTGGACCAGGAGCTCAAAAAAACCGTAAGCTGTCCAAGTGACCAAGTGGCCCCTGAGCGCTCTCACGTCTAAGACACCTGCGACCCTCCATTCTGAGTGTCCTCTCTCTTGCCCTGCGAGTGCGTCACTTCATTTGATAATCCATGTAAACGAGGTTTATTTAAATGGCTTGGTCATCAGCTCCTTGACTCTAGAAGTGGGTGGGCTAGAAACCAGGCTCACCGAGAAAACTCTAAAAAATACTTGTCTTCAGACTTCCAAGCTTTAGATTCTCTAACTCAAAGGCTCTTTGAGTGTGGCTCACAGATGTGTTTTCCAAACACAACAAAGTGAGGTGATCATTACAAGTACCTCGGCATTCAACCTAAGTTAAAACTGGAGTGTTTTTCCAGTTAGTTTCCACACTTAGATTTTATGTGATTGACTTGTTACCACTTTTCCTGTGGTAAACGAATTTTCCTGGCCATTTTCTTTAAGAGTTTTGAGTTTCTTCCTTGCTTCTGTCCTCTTCCTTGACATTTCTGGTCCTCTTCAAAGTCAGCATCCTGATGCCTGGCAGAGCCTCTGTGTCCACCTCCATGACTCGGGTAAACTGCCACTGCAGTGTACATTTTCATCAGTTTACAGTTTATCACAGTGTTGTCAGGGTGGGCAAGTGCCAGTGAGGGACCACGTCATAGTGGTTCTGTGGTTTCTACATGCTAAGCAATACAGTGAGTTACTTGGAGACGTAATAAAGACCTAAATGGTGACGAGAGTTTCTCATCCATCTACATGGATACATTTCCCTTAATTCTTTTCTTTAAAGATTTATTTTTAATTATGCATGTGTGTGTCTGTGTGGGTATGTGCAAGGGGGTCCACGTACTGAAAGAGGCCAAAAGCGTTGGATCTGTATCTGCGCGCTGCCTGACCTGAGTTCTGGGAATTGAACTTGAGTCTCTGGGAAACAGTATGTGCTCTTAACTGTCGAACCGTCTTTCCAGCCCTCACTCTTTTTTTTTTTAATTTTCATTTCTCCTTTCTGTTGGGCCCTTCTAGGTTTATTTACCAATTCTCTATCATTACAGTTAGTACAGTAACCTGAATAAGATTTTTGCCAAAGCATATTTAAGTTTATTTTTTTCCTCTTTTGGTAATGAACAAAAAGTAGTGTTTTGATGCTCTTAGAAATGATTTTTGTTTTTAGTGGCAAAACTGAAGGTTTATTAAAAGAAAGAACAATACATGCTCCAAAAGTGGAAAGAGCTGTTTCAAAGCAGGTGACCCTGAGAGGTAATTCCCATTACATTTTGTCATTGTCCTAACTCTGGCACAGAACATATAAACGTGCATTTGTTTCAATTATTGATTAGGAACGTGAACTAAGCAAGGCTGAGAAAAATAGCAGTGTAGAAACCCTAAAGGCAGAGGTAATAAGCCTTCAAAGTGAGAAAGCCGACCTGGACCGGAGCTTGCGGAAGCTGGACCAGGAGATGGAGCAGTTGAATCATCACACAACCACCCGCACGCAGATGGAGATGCTGACCAAAGACAAGGTAGGATTTTCCTTCTGTCTTAGCTATACTGGTTGGTATTTAAAATAGCTCATCTTCCATTTGTAGTAGGAAGACTGTGAAGTATTGATTTGGTATTGCTTTGTATTTAGAGGTTGTAAGAACTTAGTATTAAAAATATGTTTATAGAATCGACTTTCAAACTTAAAACTTTTGTTTTCTTTTTTCGTTTTAGTTACTGTTTTTGAGATGAGCTGTAGCCCTGTCCTGTTGCCCTTGCTGGCCTCTGACTCTGTGGACTCAGTGATTCTCCTCCCTCGGCCTCCTAACTGGGAATATAAGCATATGCCATTGCCTAGATAAGGTTTTTTTTTTTTTTTTTTTGGTTTTTCGAGACAGGGTTTCTCTGTGTAGCTTTGCGCCTTTCCTGGGACTCACTTGGTAGCCCAGGCTGGCCTCGAACTCACAGAGATCCGCCTGGCTCTGCCTCCCAAGTGCTGGGATTAAAGGCGTGCGCCACCACCGCCCGGCTGCCTAGATAAGTTTTAATAACAGAAAGTCCAGAAATAAAAACACAAAAATGTGTTCAATGTTGGTAACTTTTGACATATAGAATTAAAATTTTTTATGACATTAGAATTTTCGCTCTGGCTTAAAAAGACCATCCTGAGACTTGGAAGATATCTTGAAGGTAAAGACACTCTTTACCAAGCCTGCCCACCTGAATTTAATCCTGGAACTCACACAATAGAAGGAAAGAGCCGACTCCAAAGTTGTCCTTAGACCTCCACATGTGTATGCCATGGTCAGAGTGCACACACACAGATGTTTAAAAAAAAAAGGAAGCCGGGCAGTGGTGGTGCACGCCTTTAATCCCAGCACTCGGGAGGCAGAGGCAGGAGGATCTCTGTAAGTTCGAGGCCAGCCTGGTCTACAGCGCGAGATCCAGGAGAGGCGCAAAGCTACACAGAGAAACCCTGTCTCGAAAAACCAAAAAAAAAAAAAAAAAAGACGTGCGCCACCACTGCCTGGCCCTTCTGCTTTTTGTAGCCCCTATAGTGGTGTATACCTTTATTTCAGCATTTGAGTGGCAGAGGTAGACAGATCTCTGTGAGTTCCTCACCAGCCTGGTCTACATAGCGAGTTCCAGGACAGTCAGGACTACTGAGTGAGACTCTGTCTCAAAAAAGTTAAAAAGAGAGAGAGAGAGAGAGAAAGAGAGACAACGGTGTGGGGTTGGCTCTCTCCTACCTTCATGTGGGTCTCAGGGGTGAACTCGGGTCATCAGGCTTTTGTGGCAAAAGCTTTGGCCTGCTGAGCTGTCGCACCAATCCCCAGAATTTATTTTGTGTTCTTAATAGAATGTGGAGATACAGGCTTGACTTCGTAAAGTTGATTTGTCTGTTTTATATTTCATTATAGGCTGACAAAGATGAACAAATCAGAAAGATAAAGTCTAGGCACAGTGATGAGCTGACTTCACTGTTGGGGTATTTTCCTAACAAAAAACAGCTTGAAGACTGGCTTCATTCTAAATCCAAAGAAATCAACCAGACCAGGGACAGACTTGCCACACTGAAGTGAGTTGCTAAAACATTGCCACTGATAGAAATCTCCTTATTTCATGCTTTTATTTTTAATTGTTTTAAACATTCATGAAATGATACATCATAGTCAGTTGATTTTTTTTCTTCTTCTGGCAATTTAAATAAAATGTAATGTGAGTGGTTGGGGCCTCTTGTCTGTTAAAACTGTAGAAGAAGATTGACATCTGAAAGTTGTATTCTGTCTCTGAACAGTGCATTGCTCAGACTTTCTTGGATGTTCCCTTAAGTGGTTTTTGGATAAGAGGGTACAATATTTCTCATAAAATTTCTAGGGAGATAGTAGATTTAGCTTTAGCTGTATTTATGGTGTGTTACTTTTTTGTTTGTTTGAACAGGGTCTTACAGTATAGCGTAGGCTGGTCTCCAACTTGAGATCCTCTGATCCTTTGGAGTACTGGAATTACAAGGTATATGTCACCATGTCTGGCTCAAACTTGTATCTCTCGGAAAGGTCTTTTAGTGAATAGAATATTTAAGTTTAGGAAATTGCAAGTTGTTGCAGTTTGTTAGAAAGAATAAAGTAATTGGTATAAGCTATGTCACCATGAAAGAATTGTACAAAGAGAGACAAGTAAGATGTCTTAGAGGGTAATACTGCCAAGTCTCATGACCTCAGTTCCATCCCAGGAACCTACATGGTGGGAGAGAACTGATTCCTGCAAGTTGCCTCTGACCTCACATGCACGCCCCCCACAATGTAAAAGAAAAAGACGAGGGTACTGCTAAATACTAGGAGTAATCGCCATTGGCAAGCTCAGGAAAGGAAGCTAGCAGTGGAAGCACTGAGTGCTTGGGGAGCCAGGATGTCTGGGGTGCCCTGGGAAGATGTTTCCTCAAGGAGAGGTCTGTAGTGTTTGGTGCTTCCTGGAGACTGGATAGGATGAAGGCTGCACTTGGCCTGTAGGTTGTGTGATGGAAGCATCTTCTGTAGTCATTTTTCTGCAGGGTTTGCAGTGACTCACAGCGGACAGTACTAGGTACCATCTATTCTGTTGTGTTCTTTCTGCTTGGTTTTAAAGAGCATGCTGAATACAGCACATTGAATTTCCAGACTGGTGCATCATAACTTAGAAAGCTAAAACCTCTGACACATGAGCTTTGAGATTGTCTAGGATGGTGATTAAGAGTTAGGGTACTGGGCTGGAGAGATGGCTCAGAGGTTAAGAACACTGGCTGCTCTTTCGGAGGTCCTGAGTTCAATTCCCAGCACCCATGTGGTGGCTCACAACCATCTGTAATGAGAGCTGATGCCCTCTTCTAAATAAATAAATTAATTAATTAAAAAAAAAAGAGTTAGGGTACTAACGAGTTGTACTAGTAAGTAAGTGTGTGAAGAATGAGGGGACGAGTGACCACGGATAAGGAGATGACAGCAACAGGAAAGGGCCAAGGAGGCGTTTAGAGGCGGGTAGTGTAGGGAGCCCTGTGAAGGAGACCAGTGGAGAACTGCTCTGCTGCTCCTTTCTTTGTCTCCAGTCGAGCCAGCAGCTGGCTTCTGCTGCTCAGGCCTATAATCTGGAATCTAAGGCTGTGAGCCCCAGAAATAGAGCCCAGCTCTGCCCTGTACATTTACCTGGGAGCAGGTCCATGCTCAGGATTAGCAGATGGGTCAGTGTCCTAAGGGGAGCACTCAACATATTCTTCTAACTTGTGAAGAATATGGCTAGAGTATAGCTCAGTGTGAGAGTGTGCTTGAGGTCCCAGGTCCTACTCCAGCACAAAACGATAAAAATATAGGAAAGGATTTGTTCATACCTAACTCTTCATGATTTTTGGCAGAATTTGTCTTTTATCTCCTTCCTCAAATTTTTCAACTTTCTAGGGAGCTGGAGAGAGAGCTCAGTGGCTGCTCTTGCATTGGACCTGGGTTTAGTACCCAGCACATACTTGGTGGCTCACAACCGCCTGTAACTCCAGTTCCAGGGCATCTGACACCCTTTCTGACTTCTTTGGGCACCAGGCATGTGCATGGTACACATGCACACATGGAGGCAAAACATTCATACACATAAACTAAATCTAAAAAAATGTTTTAAATTTTCAAATATCCCACATTTGTTTTTGTTTTAGCAAAGAACTAGCTTCAGCCGAACAGAATAAAAATCATGTAAATAATGAGCTGAAGAAAAAGGAAGAACAGTTGTCCAGTTATGAAGATAAGCTATTTGATGTTTGTGGTAGCCAAGATTTTGAAAGTGATTTAGGCAGACTTAAAGAAGAAATTGAAAAGTCCTCAAAACAGCGCGGTAAGTTACAGTTTATATTATCACGGCACTTTGCCTTTTGGAGTTTCATTCCCAGGTAATCGCCGAGGATCAGAGATTTTAAGACTTATTTTTTAAATTATTTTTAATTGTTGTATGTGCATGTGAGTTGGATGTCCACCAAGGCCAGAGGCGTCAGATCTCCTCTGGAGGTAGAGTTGCAGGTGATGGTGAGCTGTCCAGTATAGGTGCTAAGAACTAACTGGTTCTCCGCCAGAGCAGCAAGTGCTCTTAACTGCTGAGCCACCCCTCCAGCCCAGGATAGGAGATTTTATTTTATTTTATTGGTTTTTTGAGACAGGGTTTCTCTGTGTAGCCTTGGCTGTCCTGGAACTCACTCTGTAGACCAGGCTGGCCTTGAACTCACAGAGATCTACCTGCCTCTGCTTCCTGATGAACTACCCCCACCACTGCCTGGCGATGATAGGAGATTTTGAAACTTTGTGTGTGTAAGAAATGCCTGGCACATAGAAAGACCTCAGTAAAATGTTATGCTTTTTGTATGATACCAAAAACCTATGCAAATTGAATATAAAATATCCTTAGGAAGATTTAAATGTCTAACTCTTTATTTCATTTGGGTACATTGGGAATATGAGAGGGAAGGAGTGACCGGGGTAAGGAGATGGCACATAGAAAGATCTCAGTAAAATGTTACACTTTTTGTATGATCCCAAAAATTGTAAGAATAATGATTATATGAGAAAATATATGTGTGTCTGATTAGAGATTTATGTTTTTAAATAGCCATGCTGGCTGGAGCCACAGCAGTTTACTCCCAGTTCATTACTCAGCTGACAGATGAGGACCAGGCTTGTTGTCCAGTCTGTCAGAGAGTGTTTCAGACGGAGGCTGAATTACAGGAAGTCATCAGTGACTTGCAGTCCAAGCTGAGGCTTGCTCCAGATAAGCTCAAGTCAACAGAATCAGAACTAAAAAAAAAAGAACGACGCCGTGATGAAATGCTTGGGCTTGTGCCTGTGAGGTAAGCCTGACGTAGTCATGGAGTTGGTGTAGCCTTTACTCAGTGTGTTTCCTGAGACTTGACAGCTTTTAAACTGGTTATTGATGGCACTTTCCAAACCCCACAAACAAAATAGGAAAAGTTATTCCAAAAGATAACTTTAAGTATGTGGGTTGTTTTGCCTGCATGTATGGCTGTGCACTGCATGTGTGCCCACAGAAGCCAGAAGAGGGCATTAGATCCCCTCGGACTGGAGTTACAGATACATGAGCTGCCATGTGAGGGCTGAGAAATAAATCCTGGTCCTCTGGAAGAGCCGCCAAGTGCTCTTAACTGCTGAGCCATCTCTCCAGGCACCACCACCACCACCACCCAAAAAACCCCCAACTTTTAAAATTACATTTTATTTATTTGATGTGAGTATGGGCATGACATGCCATTTGTGTGGTGGGTGGTCAGAGGACAACTTTGGGAAGTCTGTTCAGACTTCCACCATGTGGGTCCTGGGGGTCAAACTCAGACCATTAGGCTTGGTGGCTAGCACCTTTATTCACTAAGCAATCTCATCAGCCCCAGAAGACTTTAGAGTGTATTTTATGTTGTTACCACTTTTGAAGAAGCATAGATTATTTCTGTTGTTACTGTCTCTTTCATATATACAAGAAATTCAGGCACTAGTCTGTTAAAAAGTACAGTCACATGAGGAAATACATGATTTCTATCATGGTGTCTCCTAGAACATGGTAAGACATGTACACAGGAGCTGATCTAACCAAGGAGACAAGCTCTCAGAAGGAGACAGGAAGCTGGGCTTAATAGAGAGAGCACTTGAAAGGGTGCAGCAGATGGGCTCGTTAAGAAGCAAGCCCAGGGGTGTAAGAATGAGATAATCGTTTAGAGAACATGGCAGGAAAGGGGGTGTAAAGCCTCAAGAAGTTTGTGTGTCTTAGTTAGAAGGGCAACAGGGGAATTAGAACCATGTACAAAGAGGAGAGGAGCTTGCCCTAGACTGCATCCAAAAGTTATCTCAGGTTTGAGGCATGATTTTTATGCCTGGTTCCCATAAGTTGGAAAGATGGGACCACACTATGTTCACACCTAGTGTAGCTGTCTGCTAGGTCATAAGGAGCCATTCTAAAGTCTTGATTGTGTTTTAGGAAACTTAACCTCTTATTAGTAGATTGAATAGATCAGGGTGAGACAATCTCTGGAAGTAGAGAAGCCAGAATCTGTTGTCCAGGAAAACTGCAGAAGAGTTTCAGGAAAATGAGGAGAGTCTAAGGAGATTGCTTTATGGCAGCCAGCTTCTAAAGTGGCCCTCATAGTCCCTCAGTGCTCATGTGTAGTTACCTCTCATATTGTGGCAGGATGGTCTGTGTGAACTGAAAGAGCTCAGGAATAGCTTTACCTGGGGGTGCATACCTGTAATCACAGCACTTCAGAGGTGGAGGCAGCGAAACTCAGGGTCATCCTCTTCTGCATAGTGAGGTCAGTGCCAAAATGGTCTACAAGGGACTTGTCAGAATCAACCAGTCAATCAATAGGAAAGACAGAAGCAATAGCCTGGACTTCCAAGATTATGTTACCTAAGGTACTGTGGCTTCAACCAGTCTAGTCTGCCATGTTTAAGTAGCTCTGGAGAGAAGTCTGCATGATGGGGACTGAAGGCCTTCCTAATGAATAAGTGAGTTTGGAAGCAGAATTTGTAGAGTTGATCTTAGGATGACTGTAGTCCTGACCAAATAGCTAGACTCCACCTCCCTGAGAGACTGTGTCAGCAGCATACCTCCTGATCCTCACATCTGTGAACAATAACTGGTACTCTTTTTTTTTAAGCTGCTTGGTTTGGGGGTATTTTATTATGCAACAATAGATAACTTCTGTATGCATCTAGAGAGAAAGCCAGACTGCTAGAGCCACAGAGAAGGCGATAAGAACATTCAGCAGTAGCTTGAGATTGAAAAGGCAGAATAAGGTAATTTCTAGAACAAAAAGATCAAATAAAAGATAAAACTTGAAGTTGATAGTGTACACAGAGTAATCATGAAATTGTTCTACCATACTGAAGTATTTCAAATGGCACTAGATAACATGGTGTTACATTTCAGGGCTCCTGTCATGAAGCCCCTTCACAGTAGCATTTCTTGATCGTTGTCATGTCTTGTGACTGGTTACTTTGCTGAATGAAGAACGGTAACACTTGTTCTAGTCACTGCTGTGTAACTAACAGTGAGGCTCACTGTCATTTCTCAGGGTTCTGTAGGAGGGCTGTCATCTGGGTCTTGGCCGGAAGCATCAATCATCCTAAATTTGCTGGGGCTGGACGTTCAGGATAGCTGATACCAACCGCTGGCTGGGAGCCTGGCTGAAGGATGTCATACAGTGCTTTCACGTGGCCTCTGCATGTGTCCTGGTCTCTGGTCAGCAGTGTAGCTGGGCTACCTGAGTACAGTTATTCCAAGAGACAGGAAACTGATGCTTTGTGAAGTCTCTCTCTCATTTTTAAAGATTTATATTTTTATTATTTTTAATCCAGTATACATGTTGAGGGGGCATATGCATACACCCATAGAGGCCATAGGCATTGAATACCCTGGGAGCTGGAGTTACAGATATTTGTGAGCCACCTGATGTGGGTGCTGGGAACTGAACTCAGCAACATACCCCTAACTTTTAGGCCATCTTTCCGCCCCAGCTTGGATCTCTTAGGACCTAGATCCAAAAGCTGGCACAGTGGTACTGCTGTCATTTTCTGTTGGTGACAGTCACAGCCTGCCAGAATTCAGAAAAGACTACTCATATCTCTCTCTGCAGAAGGAGAGTCGGAACATTAAGACCACTTTTTTTTTTTTTTTTTTTTTTTTTTTTTGGGATACAGGGTCTCACTATGTAGTCTTGGTTGTCCTGGAACTTACTCTGTAGACCAGGCTGGTCTCCAACTCACAGAGATCTGCCTGCCCCTACCTCTTGAGCACTGAGATTAAAGGCGTGCATCACCACGTCCAGCTAAGGTTCTGTTCTGAAGTGGTACCAGTGTGCTAGTATTGCTATCATACATTCTATTACTTGAAACAGAGGCTGAAAGCAGGAGAGGTCCCTAGGAGCTGCTGAAAGTGGGTCATGGTACTGATGGGGCACTGAGTGAGGATGCACGTGAGCGGAGGCTGCAGCTACTAAAAGCAACAAAACTCAAATTCAGAAGACTTCCAAGAGCCAGCGGCAGAAGGCCGTCTTGGAGAAGTGGGGAAGGAGGAATGAGTTGAGGACACGTGAGAGGACGGCTTCTCTCCCAGAAGAGGAAAAAGCGTTCTGAAATGTATGAAGTGTACATAAATCAACAGCAAATCAAAGGTCTAATAAGCTAGGAGAACTTTTTTAAATGTGGAAAAGCAGTGGCTGGGATTTCTAATTCTGGCTCTGCTGAATGCCCTTAGGAATGCCGCCTAACCCACCTGGGTCATGTTTTACTAGCACCCGTAGGCAGGGGTTTGAAAACAGGATAGTCACATATTCTCAGTGTATTCCTCTTGAGAGGTATTTTTCAAATACAAAGAAAAAAAGTAGGCATTTACCGTGGAGAAACATGGTTAACCCCACTGTAACCAAACAAATGAGGTGGTCATCACAAATAATAGACACGTTGACATCACGGAGCTACTGACAGGATGTCCTGGAAAGGGCTAGTATCTCTTCTGTGCTGTTCTTGCCAAAACACATAATAACCTCGCTTTAGTTATGAGGAAATGTGAGCTAGAGTGAAATGATTTTCATTGTGTTTTCTCCTAAGGCAAAGCATAATTGATTTGAAGGAGAAGGAAATACCAGAATTAAGAAACAGACTACAGAATGTCAATAGAGACATCCAGCGCCTAAAGACTGACATAGAAGAACAGGAAACACTCCTGGGTACAATCATGCCTGAAGAAGAAAGTGCTAAAGTATGCCTGACAGATGTTACAGTTATGGAGAGGTTCCAGGTAACCTTACTGCCGTTTAAAGTGGAATAAAATTGATCTGTGCAGCTTCAATGTGAAATGTGAGCGTGTTAAAAACAGTAGCTGGAGCCGGGCAGTGGTGGCTCACACCTTTAATCCCAGCACTCGGGAGGCAGAGGTAGGCAGATCTCTGCAAGTTCAAGGCCAGCCTGGACTACAGAGTGAGTTCCAGGAAGGGCTCCAAAACTATACAGAGAAACACTGTCTCAAAAAACAACAACAACAAAAAACCCAGTAGCTGGAGCCAGGTGTAATGGCACGAGCCTTTAATCCCAGCACTCAGGAGGTAGAAGCAGGTGAGTCTTTGTGAGGTAGAGGCCAACAAATCCAGTTCCAGAACAGCCAAGGCTACACAGAGAAACTCTTGCCTTGAAAAATTAAAAAAGTAAAAACCAGTAGCTGGGTATGATGGCTCATACCTTTAATCCCAGCACTGGGGAGGCAGAGGCAGGTGGATCTTTGTAAGTTCAGGACCAGCCTGGTCTATGTAGCAAATGCCAGGCCAGCCAGGGCTACACAATGAATCAGTCAGTCTCTCTCTCTCTCTCTCTCTCTCTCTCTCTCTCTCTCTCTCCACACACACACACAAGCAAATTTTCAGGTTCAGACAACTGATTTGTATATATTCCTATGCTTAAAAGTATTTATAAACTATGGAAATTGAAGCATAATTCACTTACCTTATTTGAAGTACCAGAACTTATTTTTACTTTTTATCCTATTAAACTTGGCTTTCAAAGGGTTTGCTCATGATAATGCAGTAAGTCTCTTAGAAGTGACTGTTCTGTTCTTAAGATGGAGCTGAAAGATGTTGAAAGGAAAATTGCACAGCAGGCAGCTAAGCTGCAGGGGGTAGACCTGGATCGAACTGTCCAGCAGGTCAACCAGGAAAAACAGGAGAAGCAGCACAAGCTGGATACAGGTAATGTCTGTCTGCTCACCCCACAAAGACTTCAGTGCGCCCCACATGCAGTTTTTTTTTTTTTTTTTTTTTTTGGTTTTTCGAGACAGGGTTTCTCTGTGTAGCTTTGCGCCTTTCCTGGAACTCACTTGGTAGCCCAGGCTGGCCTCGAACTCACAGAGATCCGCCTGGCTCTGCCTCCCGAGTGCTGGGATTAAAGGCGTGCGCCACCACCGCCCAGCTCACATGCAGTTTTGTACCTGCTCTGTGAGAGTGCATAGCACATCCTTCTCTTCTCTCCTTCCAAGTATCAGCTCTGTTTCCCTGCCTTGTGCAACAGACTTGGAATCCTAGAGGGTCTGATGAACTGTGCGTGTTCTCAGTTGTACCTGTGAGAGTGACTGGGTGGGGAGAGCAAGCAGGGTACCCTTGTTGCATGCAGTGGAGCCCACTGGAATTCAGCCTCTGAGTTCTTTACCTACGAGAACTCAAAAGGATGATAGCAGTGTTTTCTGTATGTTTCTGTTCAGTTTCCAGTAAGGTTGAATTGAACCGTAAGCTTATACAGGACCAACAGGAGCAAATTCAATACCTGAAAAGTAAAACAAATGAGCTAAAATCAGAGAAACTGCAGATATCCACGAATTTGCAACGTCGTCAGCAAATGGAGGAGCAGACTGTGGAATTATCCACTGAAGTTCAGTCCTTATACAGAGAGATAAAGGTAGGAATATGCATGCTTCTTGTTTTGTAAGTTAGTCCAGACACAAAATTCTCTTTATTGGTGTTAAGAGACATAACTACAGTTATTGTGAGACTCAAATGAAAGTGTTAGGATGATTCTTCATGTGATTTCTGAGTGACAGAGTGGGTATTAATAAGTAAAGATTTGGGAAGAAAGAGTTGGGTCATGTAAAGAAGAACCAAGTGTGGTTAGGTAGTGAGTTTCGTGTTACTAGAAATGGTCATATGTGGCTGGATAACTATATATGAATTCTTGTCCCCAAGTGTTGCTCTATGGCAGATACCCATGTGTTACCACTACTTCATTTGATCCCACATGCGATGTCAGACTGCTGCCAGTACAGTGAGCAGGCATGGGGTGCGACAGGCACTGTCTCAGTGAATCAAAGCAAAGGTCCTAATCCAGGTTTTCATAATTCCAGTCACTCATTCAGTAAGCACTACACAAGTTATCGAGTCTGTTTAGCAGTAATTGCTAGAAATGTTCCTTTATTTCTTAAATAATTTTGGATTAAATAATTTGGGCTTATCATATAATACAAAATAGCATTACCTTGTACTAGTCTTGACTGGTTAGAAATGATTTTTACTTAAAACATTGTCTTCCAGCCCTGTTGAGATAGGTAACAAAGTATCTCTTTGTAGAAAAAAGAAAGGGGTTTCAGAATGTCCCATGGTTGCTCAAAGGAAGGAAGGTTGATTGCCAGAAAGGTCTTCTGGCAGGAAGGCATTTGGCCTTCCATCTCACCACTGTCTCCCAGCATGAGAATACACACCAGTGCTGAAGTCACAAATGAATGTCTCTGTCTACCTGTAACCTTTGTAGGTTCAGAACATGTTTCAAGATTTCAAGGTTCATTGTTTTAAACTGGTTATCATGTGTGCATGTTCAACATCAGTGTTACAAGGGACTTCTGATTAGTGCAATAGTTTATCATTTGAAAGTCCCCTTTCTTCCAGAATAGGTGTGGGCACACCACCGTCAATCAGTATGCTGTTACTACCATGAAAATAACTGCTTAGCTAACATGTAAAAAGGAATGTTGGACTGAATAAACCTTTCTAGTCTTTGATCACGTAGAGATGACGTAGGTCTCCACTGAACTCGTGAAAATCCAAGCATAAGCCATGTGGTATAATTGGCATCACATGGCCTAGATGAAGAATCTTACCATTTTGGTCATTTCTGGAGCTGGGCTAGGTTAGACTCTTGCCTACTCTATTTACTTTTGTGACATTGAACAAGTTACTCTTTGTTGCTTCTCTGAAATGTGTGGATAAAAACAATGGTGCCATCTTCATGGCCCTGTCAAGAGATGCACATAAGTCAACATTAAAGCCTGACACCTGGGACATTTTTACTCCATAAGACTCTGGAGCCTGGGATCTGAAATAAGGTAATGGAATGTTGCATGACTGGTCTGGCTTTGTGTGTGTGTTCAGGATGCCAAAGAGCAAATAAACCCTTTGGAGACAGCACTGGAAAAGTTCCAGCAGGAAAAGGAAGAATTAATTCACAGAAAGCAATCAAGTACCAAAATGGCTCAGGAGAAAGTAAGTTCTTGTTCACATATTTTGCTTACCCAATGCCTGTGTTAAACATTTATAGCACTATTATTTTACATAAATTAAATAACTTGAAAAAAGAAGAAAAAAAATTATTGAGTGAAGATTAAACTTAAAATGTTGCTTCTTTTTTGTTTTTGTTTTGTTTTGTTTTTCGAGACAGGGTTTCTCTGTGTAGCTTTGCGCCTTTCCTGTAACTCACTTTGTAGACCGGGCTGGCCTTGAACTCACAGAGATCTGCCTGCCTCTGCCTCCCAAGTGCTGGGATTAAAGGCGTGCGCTACCACCGCCCGGCTGTTTTTGCTTCTTGATTTAAAACAGAATTTAAGAATTGAGACTAATCCATTCCCATTGATAAGAGATTATCTGACCTAAAATTTGATAGTGGTGTGTTGGTGGTGGTTTTTACTCTTTTAGGGGCCCACCACCCAGCTCCCAAATAAGTCATACACGGAGGCTTATTCTTAATTATAAATATCTGGCCTTAGCTTGGCTTGTTTTTTTGCCAGCTTTTCTTAATTTATCCTATCTACCTTAAGCCTCTAGGCCTTTTCCTTTTCTATTCCTGTATTCCTTTCTTTGTTACTTACTCCGTGACTTACTGTGTAGCTAGGTGGCTGGCCCCTGGGTCCTCCTCCCTCTCTGGCTACTTCTTCCTGCCCAGATTTCTCCTTCCATATATTCTCTCTACCTGCCAGCCCCACCTGTCCTCTTTCTTGCCTTGCTATTGGCTGTTCAGTTCTTTATTAGACCATCAGGTGTTTTAGACAGGCACAGTAACACAGCTTCACAGAGTTAAACAAATGCAATATAATTATACAAAAGTAACACACCTTAAAATAATGTTCCTCAACAATGGTGGAATATGGGACACTTGGTTTCAAAGTTCTTTTTTTAAAAGTAAATTTTATTCTTTGAGAATTTGGGTATCATGTAATACATTTTGATCATATTTACCTTCCCATTCCTCCCACTAAAGTTTCTCCTAGATCCACCCCTTCCCTTTCCCCTTCAAAGTTCATGTCCCCCTTTCTTTCCATTGTGACCCACCACGTCCACTGTGTACCAGTCCTGTGCTGATGCACAGGGGGCCGTCCATAAAGAAGACTGGCTGTCTCTGGTCTCTGATTCCTGAGGCAGAGTGTCAGTATGTATCCCTGGAGTCATGGGATACATGACTCCACTTAATATGTAGACCAGGCTGGCCTTGGAGTCATGGTGATCTTCCTGTCACAACCTTTCTCCCAAGTACTAGGATTACAGACATGTCACTATACCCAACTCATCTAGTGTAAATTTTTGTTTTGGTTTTATGTGTATGTGTTTAAATTTAATGTTTTCCCACAGATCAGTGATATCAAAGAGAAGGTTAAAAATATTAATGGTTACATGAAAGACATAGAGAATTATATTCAAGATGGAAAAGATGACTATAAGAAGGTAATTTAAAACAAAATTATTACTTGTTTGTTTTTATTTTCTTGTACTTAATGATTTTTTTTTCTTTTTTAGCAAAAGGAAACTGAACTTAATGAAGTTGTAGTTCAACTAAATGAATGTGACAAACACAAAGAAAAGATAAATAAAGAAATGGGAACCATGAGGCAAGATATTGACACACAGAAGGTAGGGCTTTCTGCTCATGGCATCACAACACTGTTTCTATAGTGAGTTCTGTTATAGTAGAAGATAAATTGAGTGGAAATGCAAATAGAGGAAAATAATTCACTTTTTTCTTTTTTTTCTACTGAAGTAGATTGTGAGGAGTGACACTCAGGGTTTTCTTGGCTGCCACACATGTCTGCACACGTGTGTGATGCACACACAGAAGCCATCAAAGAAACAACTTTAGTATCAACCTAACAAAGATGAACTTTTAAGTGTTAACCTACTTTTTTCCTTTCTTTATCTTATTCTTTATATTTTGTGAGCTACAGTTAGAATTCCAAAGGAAAATTGGACCCAAAAGCTTTTTACAACCAGTTAGTCAGCCAAGCACTGTCTTGACTTACGTACCCTTCACAATAACACTTTACAGCAGGTGGCATTATCACCATATTCCATGCAAACTGTGACTTAGAGAAGTTAAATGAGTTTGCCTAAAATTGCCCAGTTTAAAAATGAGAACCTTGTGATTTGAACCTGCGTATGTCTGACTTCAGAGCTGTTGCCTTTTGCCTACTTTTAAACTTTTAAACTAAAGTAAGAATAGAAGCTATTAAAAGAAATACCTGTCTTTCTGATGATAGTGTGCATTCAGATTAGGAATGTTGTGTAAGAATCAGTGTTAACTACAGTGTGATGGTCTTTATAAAGAGCCCTTTCATGTTGTCATGAAAATCAATTCAAATGTTAGCTCACACCAGATGAAAGCAACCTTTCCATGTTCCTAATAAGGAAAAACTCTAAGCTAGGTTTTCCGTGGCAAGGCTTCAGAGCACAGCTGCCTTCAGTGTGTCTTGGGTTGCCTCAGCCACTGAACATTCACAACCATGTCACTTTGGTTACCTTCAGCTGCTTATAATAATGCTTCTCATGAGTTTGCACAATGGTAGCCTTAACTTTTTCCTTTCTTCTTAAGAGTCTCACTAAGTAGCTCTGGCAGACCTGGAACTCATTATGTAGACCAAACTGACCTTGAACTCACAGAAATCCTCTTGCCTCTGCCTCCCAAGTGCTGGGATTAAAGGCATACACCACCACACTCAGCTTTACCATGCTCCTTGATAATTTAAAAAAAAAAACAACAAAAAACTAAAAATAATGGTTCTTGGGAGCACAGTTGGGTATGAACTTTTAGCATGTGAGAGAAAGCCTTTTCTTCTACTACCCAGAGACTTCACTGTTGGAAGCAAGGTATTGTCAAAATTCTGTTCTTCGCTCCTGCTCCCACAGCACTGAGTATCTGCAAAGCTTTTTCCCCAGTGTCAGGTTCTAAATTATCCCCTAACATTTGTCTCTTATAATTCATTGTTATCACCAGGAGAACTATCGCGATAGTTGTTTGTCATTCTTGCCAAGTGACTGAATGTCTTTTTAAGGATAAGACTACTTAGCATCAGCTGGGCGGTGGTGGAGCATGCCTTTAATCCCAGCACTTGGGAGGCAGAGGCAGGTGGATCTCTGAGTTCGAGGCTAGCCTGGGCTACAGAGTGAGTTCCAGGACAGACTCCAAAGCTACACAGAGAAACCCTGTCTCAAAAAAACAAAACCAAAAAAAAAAAAGACTCATTAGCATCAATAGCCAGTTTCTTTCTCCCTTCTCTCTCTCTCTCTCTCTCTCTCTCTCTCTCTCTCTCTCTCTCTCTCTCTCTCTCTCTCACACACACACACACACACACACACACACACACACACAGGGTTTCTCTTTGTACCTGCAACCACTCTTGCTTTCTTGGAGCTCGCTCTGTAGACCAGACTGGCCTCAAACTCACAGAGATCCATTCGCCTGTCTTTGCCTCCCAAGTGCTGGGATTAAAGGTGTGCACCACCTGGCAACAGCCAGTTTCTTAATACTGCAGGTCAGCGGGCAGAATCATCCAAACTCACAGCTGTGTGTGACTCCCCACTCCCTTGTGAGATTATGGGTGAAGTGTCCCTCATCCAAAGTGCTCAACATTAGCAATGGTTTCCAACTTGTAACTCTTTGGATTTTGTAATAATTACATAGACTCTACCAGTTGAGCATCCCTAGCCCAAAAATCTGAAATGCTGCCAAACCCATTGAGGATTTGGGATGTTCAGAGTAGGAACGCTCAGCTTGTATGTGCCAGCCTGAAGGCAGAGATTGTATCTGACACGTACTCTGAAGTATCTAATAATCTGGGTGCATATTAGGAGATGAGGGAGAAAGTAGGGGAAGAACTCTGCAGTTGATATTGATCTCTTGATTGGTTAAAAGTTTGTCTGTATACCATAAGAACATCAATATTATACATGTTAATGAGGTCTTATACTCTTCAGATCAGCAGGCTATGTACCGGGGATCCTGGGGAAGATGATCTACTAGGTTGTAGGTGTGAAATATGTCTGGGCCTGGTGTGGTGGTACAACACCTTTATCCCAGCAGGCTGAAGCAGGCAGATCTCTGAGTTCCAAGACCAGCCAGGACTTCAAAGTGAGACCCTGTCTTAAAAATACATAATAATTAAAAATAACATCTGGTTAATTTTCCCATTTTAGATAATTATTTTGTGTGTATATAAAATAATCACATTTAATGACTTTACCAAATATATCAATATTTTATACATAAGTACACAAAAATACATGCTCTACTCATTTATTAAGATGCTCACCCCTGCCAAAGAAGAGCTCTTACATTATGGTCATGAAGGGGCCGTGCAAGCTGCTCTGTCCTTCTGTCCATCCTGCCCCACTGGCTGAATCTCCCTCTGGTCAGTTTAACATGCTTGTGAAGAAGGCAGTGTTACCACTACCTGTCTGCACGTGCCTGCTAGGGAGCTCATGTTAGCAGCTCGTTTATCTGTGTTAACTGATGCAGTGTTTACATCTAGATACAGGAACGGTGGCTACAGGATAACCTCACACTGAGAAAAAGAAGAGAGGAGCTGAAAGAAGTTGAAGAAGAAAGAAAACATCATTTGAAGGAGATGGGACAAATGCAAGTTTTACAAATGAAGAAGTATGTTTTAGTAACTCGTGTTCATTGTTTATTTTTGAGGTTTCCTTAAATGGCCCAGGCTGGCCCCAAACTCATGGTGCACCTGCCTCCACCATTTGATGGCTGAGATTACATGCAAGACCACCACACTCAACATAAAATAGTGTTTGTCTCAATGAAGGTCTTTACTATTATAATATAAAGAAACCAGGAGCTGGAGAGATGGCTTAGTAGCTTAAGAATACTGGCTGCTCTTCCAGAGGACCCAGGGTAGATTCTCAGCACCCAGTTTTCTACAATGGAGTGTCCTCCCAGATCCTTTCCACCCAACATTATGTTCTTTCTCCTTCAAAAAAAAAAAAATTATAAAACCCACACACATACACTCAAGAAAATAAAACCAAAAGACCAACTGGGTGGTAGTGGCGCATGCCTTTAATCCCAGCACTCAGGAGGCAGAGCCAGGCGGATCTCTGAGTTCAAGGCCAGCCTGGTCTACATAGCGAGATCCAGGACAGGCACCAAAACTACACAGAGAAACCCTGTCTCGAAAAACCAAAAAAAAAAGAAAGACCAATATGTCAAAAAATGCCAAAAGAAAATGAAACAAACCCCCCACACACACCACCCCCCCAAAAAAAAACTATGGAAGCTGGGTGTAGTGGCACATGGCTGTAATCCCAGCACCTGGGTTTTAGGGACAGGCAGATCTCTATAAGTTCAAGGCCAGTTTGGTCTACATAAAGAGACACTATCTCAAAACAACAGCAGCAACAAAAGTTCATGAAGTTTCTTTTGGATTGGCCAACTACTCCTGGGCATGGGGCCTGCCCTGGAATGTGATTGATATCCCCAGTGACACTTCATTGTAGACAATTGATTCTCCCCTGGTCGCAGGTATTTATTGCAAATAGCTTCTTGATTAGGAGTGGAACCTGGTGTCCATTTCCTTTTCTCAGGGCTGCGACTTCATCTCAACTCAGACTTTCTTTTCAATTTATTTTATTTTGTGAGTATTTTGCCCACATGTGTGTATGTGCACCACATTCATATAGTACATGTAGAGGTGAGTAGATGGTTTTGGATCCCCTGGAACTGGCATGAGGTGATTGCAAGCCACTGTATGGGCTGCCAGGAGTTGAACCAGGATCCTCTAGAAGAGCAGCCAGTCCTCTGAACTGTTGAGCCATCTCTCCAGCCCAAGCTAGATTTTTTTAAAAAAATAATTACTTTTGTGATGAAAACTTAGCAATTTTTTTTAAGACAGGGTCTCACTGAACAAACCTTCCACTACTAGGAAATGACAGGAGTACCAACCAAATAGATAATCAGGACAACTATATAATAATGTTCATAAATTTGTGAGCACTGTCTAGCACATGTGCTTAATAAATAAGTTGATAAGTAAATGAAAAAATTTAAGCCATGTATTGAAGTCTGTATAATCTACCAGGGTACCAGAAAATCTTGAGTATTTCTTTTTGGTCAGAATTATGATTTTTGTACTTGTGCAACAGAAACAGAATTTTTTTTTTTTTTTTTGGTTTTTCGAGACAGGGTTTCTCCGTGTAGCTTTGCGCCTTTCCTGGAACTCACTTGGTAGTCCAGGCTGGCCTCGAACTCACAGAGATCCGCCTGCCTCTGCCTCCCGAGTGCTGGGATTAAAGGCGTGCGCCACCACCGCCCGGCCAGAAACAGAATTTTTAATGAGTTTTACTGTAGAAAATGACTATTTAGTTTATTGCAGATAAAATTGCACTGTGTCTTTAACACTTGTAAATAAAACTGATTGAAACCTGTTATCCAGTAACTTCTCGTTTTTGGCAGTTGGTAGTTGTTGCGTTCTTAGTTCTAAAGCAGAAGTGTATGCCTTGGTTTCGTGAATCCCCAACAGTGCTTTACATCGTCAGTATCCAAAAGCCAGGACCTTCGTGATGCTCACATGTTGTGAGGATTCTTTATTCCTCCCACAAAAATTAGCTGCTTCCAAAGCCTACTACTGCAGAAGTGTGGAGGGAAGAGAACTAGCTCAGAAGCCTCAGAAAGCAAGGAGCGCCTCTGCATGTGCTCGTCACTGAGGAGAATGACACCTGTCAGGGACTTTCTGCTTAGGTTGCCAAAAGCCAGACAGTGGTCCTCACCAATCATTTCCCCTTTCCTAGCGAACATCAGAAGTTGGAAGAGAACATAGACACTATAAAAAGAAATCACAGTTTGGCACTGGGGCGACAGAAGGGCTATGAAGAAGAAATTCTTCACTTTAAGAAGGAACTTCGAGAAGCTCAGTTTCGGGATGCTGAGGAAAAGTATAGAGAAATGATGATCGTCATGAGAACCACAGAGCTGGTGAACAAGGACCTGGACATCTACTACAAGACCCTGGACCAGTAAGTGCCTCGGTGTTTGTGCTCACTGCAGTGATAGCTGAAGGCACACTGTGGTTGTCTGTTTTCCCCGTTTCTGACTTTCAGTATATGACATTTCATATATACCATGAATGAAAAAATACTTGCGTCTGTATGCCTGTGTGCTTACATTATACAGCATACCTCCCCTAACCAGTCCAAGAACTTCACTGTCTTAGCCTTCAGCCATCTCTGCTCCCTGTTTCAATAACAAAGGTGTTTGCTTTCTCTGCTCTTAAAAACCAGGTGTAATACATGTATAGTGTGTTCAGGCTTTTTAAAGGTGGCATCACATTTCAGGTACTCTTCGAGGAGCTGCTGCTTTGGGTTTGTCCTTTTTGGTATGGCTATAGTTCATCCATGCTCCCATGTACAGAATCCTGCCGTGAATCACTGCTGTGTCCCATTCTCCTGGGCTTAGATCTTGGGGTCTTTCCTAACAAACCGTGCCATAGGACACTCTTATGACATCTTTTGACAAAGAGATAGACTAAAGCTGTACATGTGGCAATGGGTTGTGGGATAGGCTTGATTTTACAGAATGCTGGTTTTTTTTTTTTTTTTTTTTTAATGGTTTTTCTAGCCCAGTGTGGTGGCTCAGTGCCAATAAGCCCAGTAGGTAAGAGGCTGAAGCAAGTGAATTTCTGTTTAATGTAATAGATTTAAAATAAGAACCAGAGTCGGGCGGTGGCGCACGCCTTTAATCCCAGCACTCGGGAGGCAGAGCCAGGCGGATCTCTGTGAGTTTGAGGCCAGCCTGGGCTACAGAGTGAGATCCAGGAAAGGCGCTAAAACACACAGAGAAACCCTGTCTCGGGGGAAAAAAAAAAAAAAAAAAGTAAGAACCAGTTGTGACCTTTGTGTACAGTCCTCTGATTCATTTTTATTATTTATTTTTTTAAAGAATAGAGTATTTTTAGTTGGGTGGTGGTGGTGCACGCCTTTAATGGCGCACGCCTTTAATCCCAGCACTTGGGAGGCAGAGGCAGACAGATCTCTGTGAGTTCGAGGCCAGCCTGGGCTACAGAGTGAGTTCCAGGACAGGCTCCAAAGCTACGCAGAGAAACCCTGTCTCAAAAAAACAAAAAACAAAAACAAAAACTAGAATACTGTACTTTTGTAGCTAGGCCTTTAATCCCAGCATTTAGGAGGTGGTGGATCTCTGAGTTTGAGGCCAGCCTGGTCTACAAAGTGAGTTTCAGAACAGCCAGGGCTACACAGAGAAACCCTGTCTTAACCCCACCCACCCCCAAAAAACCCCTGTTTTTATGTTACTGATTTTTTTGTTTTGTTTTTCAAGACAGGGTTACCAATCATACATATTAATGGGGTCAGTATGATATTTCCTCATATGCATATGGTATGCACAGATTAGATCTCACCACCCTCTTCTCCTCTAGTTACAAGTGTTCTATTTTGGGGGATTTGGTGGGGAGAGGATCTCCCCTGTATCCCTGACTAGTCTGGAACTTTGATATGTAGACCAGGCTGGCCTCAAATTCACAGATCTGCCTGCCTCTGCCTTCTGAGGTCTGGGATTAAATGCATACGCCACCGCGCTCAACCTCTTGAGGACATTTTCAGGCTGTGTATAGGAGGGACTGTGTAACACTGGCCCTTCTGCTGCTGTCTTGGTTTGCTGCTCTGCTTTAGCTGTGTACCTGGGAGAGGGATAGCTGGGTAGGATGGCCAGTCTGTTTCTTGGTGCATTTTGGGGTTTTGCATGGGTTCCTGTGATCGAGTACAGGTCATCAGGCTTGAGCAGCAAGTGTGTGAGCCACTGAGCTATCTTGCTAGCTCGATTTCTTGAGTTTTTTGGGTTTTTTTTTTTTTTTTTTTTACTTGTTTATTTGAGTCAAGGTCTTACTGTGTAGTCCAGGCCTTAGACTGACAGAGATCTGCATGCTTCTGCCTCTGGAGTACCTGCTGGGATTAAAGATGTGGGCCACCATACCCAGCTATTTGTTTTTTGGAGAATCTTCAGACTGAAGTTCCTTCTGCATCCTTATCAGCATTTGTCTTATAGAAATCATTCTAACTGGAGTGAGATGGTCTCTCATATATGGACGGTGTGTAATTCACTGATGGCAAATGATAGCAGTGTATTTTCGTGTTTGCTGATCATTTGTATTTTGAAGTACCTATGCAGCTCATTTCCCCCTTCTTTAGTTTATTGAACCACTGTTTTTTTTATTGTTTGTTTGGTTTTTTGAGAGAGGGTTTCTCTACATAGCCCTGGCTGTCCTGGAACTCACTGTGTAGACCAGAATGGCTTCAAACTCAGAGATCTGCCTGCCTCTGCCTCCTGAGTGCTGGCATTAAAGCCATGTGCCCCCACTGCTCAGCAGACTACTCATTTTTAAGTTCCATATATGTTCTAGATGTTTACCCTGCCAGATGAGTAGGTAACATTTTCCCCCATTCTGTAGACTCTTTGTTGATTGTTTCCTTTGCTGGGCAGAAGCTTTTTAATTTGATGTAATTTTTGTCTACTTTGTCTTTTGTTCCTGGTACTTTTAGTATCTTGTCCCACAGAAACAAACCCTTGCCTCTTACAGAGTTGTGTCCGATGCTTCCTTCTGCAGTTAAGTTTCAAATGTTAAATGTTACCTGTCATTGACTATTGTGTGTAGTAAGAGACAGGTCTAGTTCATCCTCTGCATCCAGAATCCCAGCTTTCTCTGTTCTTTGCCCACTGTCTGTTGTTACCACCTTCATTGAAGACCAGATGATGTAGAGACATGCTTATATTCCTAAGCTCTCTGTTCCCTCCGCTGCTCTGGTGTCCGTCTCTGTCAGTGCTGTGCTATTCTGATTGCTGTAGCTGTTAGACTATTCTGTGGTGATGTGATAGTCTTCTCTCTTGTCCTTTTATCCAAGATTGCTTTGACTATTGGGGTTTTGTCTGCTTGCTTCCTCATTTTATAGGTCTATATGAATTGAGAACTTTTTCCCTAGTTATCTGAGGGATGTCATTGATACTTTGATATGGATTGCACTAAATCCGTATGTCAATTTGAGACGCAAGGAAACAATTCAACAATACTTATGCCCAATCTATGAATATGGACACAGACTATCTTTCCACTCTTTTGTGTTCTCTTTGAGTTCTGTCATTGGTATTTTATAGTTTTTTTGTAGTGGTCTTTCTCCTCTTTATTTAAATATATTCCCAGGTCTTTGTTTCTTTTTTTTATAATTTATTTTTATTTTATGTGCTTTTATGTGTTTTGCCTGCATGTATGTCTGTGTGAGGGTGTCAGATCTTGGAGTTACAGTTAGTCGTTAGCTATCATGTAGGTGCTGGAAATTGAACCTGGGTCCTTTGGAAGAGCAGTCAGTGCTCTTAACAGCTGAGCCATCTCTCCAGCCCCCAGGTTTTTGTTTCTATAGCTGTTTTCAGTGAGATTGTTTTCATATCATTTGTTGTGGTGTATGAAAATACTGATTTCTATATGTTGATACTTGTGATGATACCCTATGATCTTGTCAGCCTGACTGCATTTAGAAGCATCTTGAAATCTTGGAGCCTGGTTGTGGTGGCTCATACCTTTAATCCCAGACTTTGGAGGCAGTCACATCTCTGTGAGTTTGAGGCGGCCAGGTAGACACAGTGAATTCTAGGACAGCTAGGAATACATAGACCATATCTTAAAAAAAAAAGGCTTGACTATCTGAGTTCAGTCTCCAGAGTCTACATGGTGGAAGGATAGAACCATCTCCTGTAAGTTATCATCTGACTGCCACATGCTCTGTGACATGAGCAGGCAAGCAAGCTAGCCTGTGTACGTGTACACACACACACACACACACACACACACACACACACACACACACACACTCGAACAGGAACACAAATACAAAAGAAGCACCTAGATTAGTCAAGCACACCAGTGTGTCTGTGAGGGCATTTCTAGAGGCAGCTAGATCATCAAGGCTCTGTCTTAGCCATTTGTTTAATCCCTTCAAAATTTGAAGCTGGGGTGATGGTGCACCCCACTTATCCCAGCACTTAAGAGGTAGAGGCAGGAGGATCAGCTCCAGCTACATAGTGAGTTTAAAGCCATCCTAAGCTTCAGGAGACATTAACTCAAAAATGTTTGGGGTAGGTTGTTGGGAAATGGTGGAACATGGTCACTAAGGACTTGCCTTGGAAGACAGTGTCGGGCCTGGCCTCCTCTCATTACTTTTCTTTGCTGCCTGACTGCCGTGAAGTGAATAACTTCTTCTTTATGCCCTCCCTCTGTGTTTCTGCCTTGCCACAGACTTACAAACCATGGAGCCAGCTGACCATGCAGTGAAACTGAGCCAAACTAAGTCATCTCTCCCTCAGGTTGTTTATCTCAGGGATCTGATCGCACTGGATGCTTACTAATCAATCTGGTCTGCCACATCTCTAATTAGGATCTAATTAAGGTCTTGAAACAAGGCATATGGTTAGAGAGCCCTTGCCTAGAAGACTCTGTCCATTTGTCTGCTTCCTTGAGTCATTCTGTCCTCCCAGCTCCTTCCTGTGTGCCTGTAGGAGTGTCCTGTCCTCTGCTTGTGTTTAGTTCTTTAACAACAGGTGCTGTGGAGCTAGTAGTCTTAGCACCGCCTTGTGTGCGGTAAAGAACAGGATCCTGCTGGCGGGGGTGCTGAAGCGTACAGGGCAGATTGGCAGGAAGAAGCTACCATGTGGAGTACAGTCAGAGATACCGTAGGGAAAGTAAAACTGGGAGTTCCAGACAAAGACAACCTATAACACGTGTTAAAATTACTGCCTCTGGAAAAAGAATTTTAACCCTGTTGTAGTAGGTAATCATTCACCACAACCTTCTGTTTCCTCATCTATAAAATGGGAATAAAAACCATTTATACCAACATTCACTGTAGAGATAGATAGTTATAAGACAAACTCCAAGACCGTTTAGAACTAATCCAGCTTCCTCTGCCGTGTTCCTTTCTCCTGTCCTTCACTCCCCTGCCTCTTTTTCGTGTGT